AGAAGCGGTTTCTTTTAGACATTTTAAACTTGCCCTTACTTCTGAAAACGGTTTTAATAGAATGAACATTGGAGATTATTACCATATGCTTGGTTTAGATTCCTACTGTTGTTGTACGCAGAAAAACTTCAGCCTTTTTGTCGGAGCGATACGCTTACTGATGTTCCTAAATTCAAAAAAACTGAAATATTCTAATAGTCATAGTATAACGCACTCTCTTCTCTATCGATCCATATGAAAAGATCGTTTAACGGACATATGGCTGTTGTAAAGTAAAACTTTTTCTAATGAGTTCTACCTGAGACTCCCATTCTTTCAGGTTTTCTTATTAATAATATGCCTAACAAAAAGGTCTATTCGGAAATTGAATCTGTGAAAGTTACGGGCTAACCCACCCGAAACTACCAGAAATTGACTCTTAAGTGTTTCACTTAACAAAAAACGAATCTTCCTACTTATTGTCAAAAACAACATAAAGATAAATCTTTTCATAAATTTTGAGAAAATAAAATACTGTATAGTGTAAAATACTTATCAGAATCCGGTAAGAATCTAATAAGCTTATCGCAAGAAATTTTTATTAAGAGAAAAGAAATACATGAGAATTGTGATCACTTTCTTACGAAACTCTTTCAATTTTCTTATACGATTCGTATAATGCTCTTACGCAATGAGACGTCTTGTAGAATTTTTCGATCAGTTTTTGTGGAGATATAAGCATCACTGCAAATGTCCTGAAAAACAGACCCTATGTAAGTTACAGACTGTAACATACAGTATGTGTATTCTCCTGTAAACAAATTCAAACTATGTTTTCAAATTCAAAGCGTTGGGTAACTTTCACTCGTCAGCAAATGAATTTAGAGTTTCAAAACACTTTCATAACGAAATGAACAGAATGACTGAGGAAGATTTTGTTCATGGTGAAGAATGTTAAAATAAATGTTAAGTTGTTAAATTGACCTCTGAAATGGGACGAAGGTCATTTATGTGAATTTGTGATGCTCCATTGGTTTCTGGATCTTTTACAATATATGCTGGATGTTTTCTTTAAATTATGATCATCGGATATCGTCGATCTAATTCCAAACGATTTCCTTGAATCATTGTTAAAACATAATCCTCTATATTATAATGTTTGTCTTTTCTATTTTTATTGTACTTTATAGTGGAGAGATTTTGTTGTTTGGTCATATTTTCATGTGAATATAATTGGTATAATTTAAGAGATTTATTCAACTGAGGATAGTAGTCGGAAGGATTTGGTAAATTTAATTGTGTTGGCAGTGGATCGATCGGCAAACGCGGCTTTCTCCCAAATTGTAGCTCATATGGTGAGAACTTTGTGGATGAATGAACGCCGGTATTATAGGCAAATACTACCGGATCTAAAAACTCGTCCCAGTTGTTATATTCCGAGTATTATAATTTAATTATTTGTCGGATGATGATGGCGTTAAATCTCTCTGTCATTCATTCCATTGGATTGTGGGTGATATACCGAAGAAAAGATACGATGAATCCCAATTTTATTCTCTAATGCTTGAAGTTTATGAAAATGTGAGCCATTGTCAGACAAAATAGTGGCGGGAACTCCATAATGACAAATGTAGTGTTTGAATATCACTTTTGCGGTCACTGCAGTCGTGCAGCTGGGAAGAGCTGCTGGCGGTGCACCACCTAGTAAATAAATCTGTGATGGCAAGAGCATAACGATTTAACGGTCCTACGTAGTCAATTGCAATGATCTGGCATGGTCCGTCTAGTGGTGATATTAGTTTCAAATAGCCTGCTTTTTTTTATCTAGATACGTTAAATTGTTGACACTTAGAACAAGATTTAATATATTTCTTAATAAAAGATTCCATGTCTGGAACAGATTTTTGCGTATAGAATATTTAGGCTGAACGAGCTTATACAAAATATCATCTTTGAGAACAAAATCGATTTTATTTGGATCTTACTGTTCTATTTTTAATTTAATGCTAGAATCTTTATCTTGTTCGATTTTCAGCTGTTTAATATTTTTATTACAAATTTCTGATCAGACGTAGAATTTAAATCGATGGAATCTTGATCAGAAGTGGAATCACTTGTAGATGTCTGAGTAGTTTGCTGCTGTTGAGCTCTTTTTGTTTGCTATCTTGTTGTAACTGCTCTGGTCACTGGGACTTTTAAAGGCTGTGACCTTCCAGTTGCAGAATAATAGATGAAGAAGGTGATGATTTAACTTGAAAACCAAAATCTGGATCAATGAGATCCGGACCATTGAATTCAATTGGATGACGAGATAAATAGTCTATGAGACAATTTTTTCCGCCCTGAATGTAAATGATTTGAATGATGTTATACTCTTGCAACATAATTGAGATTCTGTTGGCCAATGTATTGCGAAGAGTTTTATTTTGCATTCCGCAAACTGTACAATGATCAGTGTACATAATTATATCTCGGCCAAGTAAATATTGTCTCATTCGTTTAATTGATAAAATAATTACAAGAGCTTCTTTTGCACCGGTGTCATATCTTCTTTGGGTTGAATTAATCAGCTGACTGTGATAATACAATTTATGCATTTTCCCATGTATCTCTTGTTATAGAAATCCGCTGAATCTAATTAAAGATGCACCCGTTGCTAAAATTATAGGATGTTTATCAACGGGAAAATTTAAAAAGAGAGGTGCTTCAGTGAGTAGTTTTTTGAGTTCGTGCAAAGAAGCTAATTGTTCGAGTCCCTAGTTGAATTTGTATCTCATATCTTTCGGTAGATTCGTGACTGCGTCAATTGGAGCAGCTGTTGTAGCAAATTGTGGTATGACCTTTCTGTACCATTATAAAGCACCAACAAATTTATTTGCTTGTGTGAGAGTTTTAGGTTCTTTTAATTGAAGGACTGATAAGAGTTTTTCAGGAGCCGGAGATATTCCTGATTGGTTAATATGGTCGCCCAAATAATCTATTTCATTTCTGGCAATCTGGCATTCAGGAGGGTTTAATTGAAAATTTGATTGATGAAGTAATGAAAGAACGCGATTGAGATGTTGAACGAGAAGATTATCTAATTTCGTTGGTGTGATGTGTAGATTAAATTCTTCAATAAAGGCCTCCAAGGTTCGTCCTCTTGCATCTGTCTGTGTACATCTCCAGAGCTCTGAACACGCATTGAAGTCTTCGAGCAAAATAGTTGGAGACATGGAGCAAGTACTGTGCCGGTTAATTCTTTACGAACAGTCTGCTCAATGTCTCCAACTATTTTGCTCGAAGACTTCAATGCGTGTTCAGAGCTCTGGAGATGTACACAGACAGATGCAAGAGGACGAACCTTGGAGGCCTTTATTGAAGAATTTAATCTACACATCACATGATTTTGATCGAAAGTAGACATTTGCTCTAGTTACGGATAAACAACGTCTAGTGAAAATGAGTGGAAAAACACGAAAGGTGACGATAGAGAGCTTAAAGACATGATTGCTCTGATTGAAGATTTGTAATAACCGTATCAAAGGTATTTACAAACTACAACATGGTGTGTCCGAAATCGAAAAATTTGACAGTAATTTGGAGGAAGCAGAGGTGCTCTGAGAAAAACTTGTTTCACTTAGTATCAATGTTTCTTTTAGTATTTCTCCATTACTTTGACTTTTTCGGCTTCTGCTTCAACATCCAAAAGAGAAGATATTTGTTTATCTGATCTCTCTGTCTCACTTAAAAATACTCTTCATTAATTCTAACAGAACCATTTGATAATGTAGAGGTACTAGGTTCAATAGCACGTGTAACTAATTGAGACAGTTGATGAGTTTTTGTTGCTATAAAATCTACTTTTGCATTTAACATGTTTGTTCGATTACCTAACAGTAACACTTGACTAGAAAGATGAATCTCAAACAGCTGATAGACACTGGTGATACGACTGTAAATGTTCAATGACATTATCTTGCATAGGAGGATCCCGCTGAACTCTATTAACTCTTCCAGAAGCATCGGCATATGAACGCGATCGTGATCGATTATTCAGATTCAAGGACATTAATGCTAAAGGTCTCTGTGGTGAAGAGTAGGAGGCGGCTGCTTTGCAGAACATTTTGTTTGAGGTGTCGATAAAAATAAATGATTTTTCCACTGAGATGGTAAAACCTGATTTAAACGACTTCTAAATCCGCATGGAATGTGACCGTGATTTGGAAGAAGATTCGAATCAAACTCGCTGCGATCATTCTCTTTTGTATGTAATTAATGCTGGACATCTGCTCTCACTATAACCATGCGTACTTCCAAAATTTCCGCATTTCTCAAAATCAGGACATTTCTGTGGACTACCATCAGATTTTCCTTCACTAAATACACTACAATGTTCAACTGTTAACACATGTTTAGTAATTTCCTAACAAATGCCCTTACACTATCGGTTCTATAGAAGCGTCATTCGTTTGTGTTTGTCGTCCATTATCCAACATGCACACGTATTCATGCAAGTACGGCCTTGAATTTTTTTCTTCTTTCTTTCTCTTTTACCTAAAAAGCCCTGAGCATGTACAAAATTAACCGTTCGCTTATTCTCTCCTATGCAATTGTGCCCCCTATCGATCGGAGCAGCCGGGACGAAGGTGCATGCACGTGTACCGACCGAATTAAGTAAATACTTTGCAATGCTAGTGAATGCAGTTAGGTGCAACCCCATTGCGACGGCATTCGACCATCACCGCTCTATGATATGTAGAGGCGAGTAGGGCCATCCCGGTCATTCTTGTCCGGTCGGTTCCGATAGTTCATAGTAGACCAATGTTATTCACTTTTCTTGTCAAAATTCTTTCAAATGTCTAAGACGTGGATTGTTCTAGCGGACATTCAATACTAATCAAGTATCATCATCAGGCAGTATTAACGTATTTTTAACTGTAGTTAATATATTATATTACTTGAGAAACGTAAAAAGAGAAAAAGTATCAATGTATTCTAGCGGAATGTTCTGCGGATGTCAAACGACTAATAGAAAGATTTTAAACATTCTTTTTGAAATATTTGATGGCATCTTGAATGGCCTTGTCTCTTTGTTGATCGGCCTGTTCCGAACCATCTGGTCGAATGACAAAGCCATGATACATACCGGGATAATTGATAAATGTTGCCAGACCGGTGGGAGCTAAAGTTTTTTCGAAATGTTCTCGAATATCAGGCGTGAAGAGTTGATCATTCTCTGCACATAGAAAAAGAATCGGTCGTTTGATTTGAGTAGCTTCTTCTCTGACAAGAAACGAAGGATGAGCAACCACAGCTGCCTTCACCACTGAGGTTAATTCAGCTTGACTGATCAAATGAACGACTGGTTTAGCACCGTAACAGAAACCGATCACCTAGAAGAGAGAAAGACAACTTTTGGAAAGAAGAAAGAGAGATTTTGACACTTACTTGAATGGAATCGTAGTGTCCTTTGATAGTCGAGATGAATTTGTCAGATGATGCACATACTTCGTCAACAGGATGTTGTTTTAGCCATCCAGGCAATTTGTCAAATAAATTGGACTCATTTGGATCCATTGGATCATCTTTGAAAAAATCAGGAATAAGAACTGTTGTTCCGGTCGCTTGAGCAAAAGTGTCAGCAGCTTTGCGTGTATTGATAAAAGAGTGGCCAAAGACATCAGTAAACATAACAATGACCGAATTTCCTTGACCCGTCTTGTAGGTATTGAATCCCGCCACTGTCTCTTCATGACCTTGAGCCGAATGACTCTGTTTGGCACCAGGATCGACACAACACGGACCACTCATTGTACTTGGTAAAGTAATACAGTGAGATAACTTACTTCGAATGGATGCTTTTTGAAAGTGTCACACTATTCATACGAATCAGTAAGACAGAAGCAAAACCAGCAAAAATTGCACCTATTGATTTACCTGTCTTTTGCTAGTTCTTCTCCTCTGTCATTTGCTATTTGTGTCTTCCAATGTTGGATGAAGATGCATAGATGACGTTCGAAATCTGTGCGTGTCACCTAAGCTTCATTCGAACCGTGTCCAGATATATTGAGGGCAATGATGCCGTCAGAAACACTCACGCTTCCGTTACATATTTTGGATTACTTTCTAAAATCTATTGAGAAGATTTGTTTTGATGGGGTATTTTCTCCTCCGTCGTCTTCTTCATTGCACAGCATTTTCGAATGATGTTGCACAGCGGAAGTGGAGCCCGAATACAAGGTCTACCGCTTTGCTCCATTTTGAAAAATATCGTCGAAACTGTCCTTCAAAAAAGACTATGAAAGTCCATACATATCACATTTTATCGAATTTATATTCCCTATTTATATCCCCTATCAATGAATGGAACTCCAAATCTACAATTTTTGTTCTATTTCATATTTCCGGAGCACGACTCTTCCAGAAGACTCTTCTGTCTTGCGGCCCTTCTCTTCTCTTCTTGTCAACGTACAAGGCGCGGGCAGTTGGTTATCCGAGGTTCAGGAAATAATAGATTACATTGGTTCCTTTTTACTTACAATAAATGACTCGATTTTCACTTGCTTGATTAAAACGTACAATAGCAAGCAGCATCTGTTGTTCGTTTACAAAGTGTCCTCTAATGTTTCGAGCTACTGGTGTAAACAAACTTGGGTTTGATTAGATACATTTCCTTTTATTATTTATATATTGCAATAGTACTTGAAGAAAAAAATGAGAAATAATATTCAGTCAAGCCTATATTGATAATCAAAACTAGTGTACCAGCTATTATACCGAATTTATATCAGACGAAAAAAAATTAAAACCATATTATATATTTCTAAGTTATTTTTTTCAACCAGATCAATGATATGTAATAAAATGCTTATCATTTTCACGTGGATCCTTGATTGTTAAATTATTTTATTTTATTGGTTTATGCTTTTGCAGTTCAAATTAGAAAATACTGTAGGAAAACAATGGCAAATATTCCATTATAAATTATAAACTAAAACTATCGAAAAACGGAGATAGAAAACACTCTTTTTGAATACTATGGTTTTGACACCGGCTTGTGTGGAATATTCCCATCTGAAATATATTTCCACGATAGTTTTAGTTTGTCACTATTTACATACATTTACATACCACTATAGGCATGATTGTTCTGATTGAAGATTTGTAATAACCGTATCAAAGGTATTTACAAACTACAACATGGTGTGTCCGAAATCGAAAAATTTGACAGTAATTTGGAGGAAGCAGAGGTGCTCTGAGAAAAACTTGTTTCACTTAGTATCAATGTTTCTTTTAGTATTTCTCCATTACTTTGACTTTTTCGGCTTCTGCTTCAACATCCAAAAGAGAAGATATTTGTTTATCTGATCTCTCTGTCTCACTTAAAAATACTCTTCATTAATTCTAACAGAACCATTTGATAATGTAGAGATACTAGGTTTAATAGAGAGGCATTGTTATAATAGGCAAAAACCGGTTTTTCGCCTGTTACTAGCAAAAATTAAAATCCTTATATCTCGATCAAATCTCATGCTGACTCAACGAAATTTTCGGAAAGCGCTCAGGACAGCTCATAAAACATAATCCAAGACGAAAAAGGTGAATGTGAGCTGGGCATTGGCTTAAGGTTTTCCAGAAACCTTCTGAAAAACCTGAAAGCATCAGTGTTCTGCTGGATCACTATTTCGGCGTGGTCAACAACATATCGCATCTTTTAAGCCTTTCCTGAAAATTTCGTTGAGTCAGCATGAGATTTGATCGAGATATAAGGATTTTAATTTTTGCTAGTAACAGACGAAAAACCGGTTTTTCACAACAATGCCACTGGCGAAGTTATATTCATTTCTACACAAAAACAAATGTTGCTACTATGCTCAGCGTAGTTGATTACCTATAGTCCATGGCATTTCATCAGAGATGTCTGCTCGGCGATAGACACGTGCTCGGGGAAAGCGAGCCCTGCCCGAACGACAATAGCTAGAGAGCCGGGACTTGCATAATTTTGTAGCGTAACGTCCGAACTATTTACGCATGCAAAGAAATTACTAACATTGTATGTTAGTTTTCTGAGAACGGAGCCGATTTTTCAAAGATCCTCTGAAAACCCAATCTCCGGAATTTTTTCAAAAATTGCTTCCGCTTGTGAAAAGTTCTGCTCAAGTCTTGGCTATTGAACAGCGAAAATCGCAGGTCTTCACCTCGTTCCTATCAAAAGGTATTCAAAAAATGCCCACGGGTCTTGTATTTTGGGATGGATAGTAGCGTACACCCTCCTAGAAAAACTTCTGGCTACGGACCTGACCACAGCTCAAAATGAAGTCCTTGAATCGAATCGAAATTTCATTATTTTTGGGCGGGCAAGTAGTTTTGTAGCACTTTGAAACGCTTAACAAAAAGTGCAGTTGTATATAGCATGTCACAATCAAGAAAGAATATTAATATCTAATAGAATCGCTATGGATTGAAATACAGTATATATATATATTTACATAAAAACTGAAAATGATAAATTCCTATGATGTTACTGTTATTATTCGAAATTATAGATCAATCAAATTTAGGCTGTTTGAGAGACCATATGTTCTCATTTCAACACTTTACTTGATGACTATAGGGTAAAGCGCATAGCGTCTTTACTTTGACTGAGCCAGTGTCTCAGTGTTGCAGTGTCAGTGTAATCAGTTTCGGTGAAAACCGACGAGAGTATAAGTCAGTGTTTCAGTGACGTCAGTGCCAGTGTAGTCACAGTGTCAGTGAACACCAATGAGAGTAGAGCCAGTGCTGCACTGGCGTCAGTGTCGGTGGTTTCGGTGCCAGTATTTCAGTGTTTCACACTGACACTGCACATCCCCACCCAGGACGACGAAAACGAGATAAAAAATGACGCGTTTATGGCTCATTAACGTAAGATTAATTGGCCGTTTTTATATCGTTTAAGATCATTTTTATTTAGTTTTTATGCCATAAACGTCTGGCATAATGCTGATTATGCACCTGCATTTGGAGGTAGTGATGATCTTGTTGTCTCTCTCAGGAGCGATGAAAAGACCAGCTACATAAATTTTCCTAACAGTTATGTCGATGCAACGGGCAAAAGAGAGAAGACATTTACTGGAGATACATATTCACAACATCTGACATTGAAGTATTTCGTGTAGTCGAATGAGCACTAGCAGTACTTTCCTATGCAATGGATGTGGATGTAGACAGCTTTTGTTTTAGGTATTGAGTTCATTGATTAGATTCATGTGTTCTGTGCACGTGCGATAGACTCACTAGAGTCATAGTACTTGTCCGCAGCAGGTGTGCGCTTTTGAACAGAGCATGATAGATTAACTGACAGTGATGGAGGATGGAAAGAAGATGCATCGTCATTTCTGTTCACTCTGACTAATCCAGACACTACTCCACCAACAAAGTATCACATTGATCCACAAAAGAGTGCTAATGCTGTCTTGCAGCATGCTGATTATGGACCTGTATCTGGAGGTGGAGTTGATCTCACTGTCTTTCACAATAGCAATGACAGCAGTATCAGTGCGAAAGTGAAGACTTGGAGGCATTTTTTTACAAGCAAACGCTTTTCCAGAAATGCTTTTCGAAACAGGTTTTCTAGAAGATCTTTGGAAAACCAGACCGTGTATAAACTGTTTCAATAGGATTGTGTTGATTTTCTTCCATGGACTGATAGCCCAAAGTGTGCTCTTCAAAATGAGAGTCAAGCGAGGTCTTGATTTTTTGCGGCACGAGTATTGTGTCGGATCTTTTACAAGTTCCAGGACTGAGATCAAGTGATTATTGTTAGCCTTGAAAACGGATGAACTATATGACGTTTGCCTCATCTCCAACACGTTGAAATTGTTCACCAGTCATTTGATGGGAGCGGATAATAAATAGTGGTTGTTGTTCGTCGTCAGATGTCAAGGAAAATTTAATAAACAGAATTGATACGAGTAGTAGTGGTAGATAACACTAGGGGTATGACAGTTCCATATCAACTCCTATCATAGGAACTGTTGAAAAGTTCTTTCGAACGGAGCTGATATGTTTGAAGAGATCTTTTGAAAGGAGCTGATATGTTCGAGCAGCTCACTAGTCGTCTAGACAAAGTTTAAACGTCCCGAATGTTCATTAGACGTTCATATCAGCGAAGTCCTGCAATCATAAGCAGAAGTATGTAAAATGGTCAATTTTTATTCGTCAGATAAGTACGGTTAAAAAGTAAAATAAAAGAAGTATGATCTTTGTAAGAAAAGCAGACTAAAGAAAAGATTAAAGTTTATCTTTTAGGAACATTGAA